CACCTCAGCTAATTAAGCTAACAAGAATCAGTTCCGTAATTCATTTCTTAAAAGGTTCGAAGTTCTCCAAAACCCGAGAATGCAAGTACTAAGGCCGGCTTCACCTGGACCACGTGATTCATTTTTTGCAGTTCTCTTGATATACCTGACCATTAAGGTCGTGACGTCATACAGTGAGCTTAGCCAGACAGTTAGAGTGTTGGCCAGCAGGGGGAAGGCAGCCCCTACTCATACTTCATCGATCACCATGTGTTTTTTATCCATTTTTTTTTCAATTGTTATGTTGGGCGGTACTCAGGACCTCGCACGGTTCAAGGCGAAAAAGCAACATTTTAGAGCAGTACATTTCAGTATGCAATACAATTATTTATATAAAACACTTTGAAATAGCTCGAGCAGAAACACCATGATGGCAACAATTGTTCAAATAATTATGTAGCTCATACCTAGCTTTTAATGTATTATTTTTAGTTCTTGGGTCGCGGAAAGACGTCAATTTAAATAGGAAATTAATTAATTATAAAAATAAATAGGTAGGCTTGATCGGTAACTTTTAAAGCAATGTTTTAATGCAGCCTATTTCATGATCTTGTGGATAGTAAGTTTGCTTTATTCCGCTTTTATCCCCTCACCTCGATTCGGGTGTCACACACAGCGCTTTACGGCTCACAGGTGGCCTGGAGGGGTTTTGCAGTTCTGAGCCCGTTACGAGTTCCGCACAATAAAGAGCATGACGTCTGCGAAACCTGTCGGCCTCAGTCCCTGGTTTTCCGCGGAGTAACATCGGGGCTGCCTTTTCGGTTTCCTTTATAGCCGCACTTCTTAATAATTGTAAAGCATTTAAAGTTTCCAGAGCAGGGGAGGTTCAAGCAGTCATTTTTATAGCACTGTTCCCCACCTGTGCTCATGACGATCTATCACCATGTAAATCTTATTTGCGCTGTGCTTGGTTGAATTCCAGCTTGGGGTACTCCCCACACGTGTGTTTCTCTGCTCTTCCTCACAAAGAGAAGCTGGTGTCTCACAGTTGTCCCTGCGCATGCGTGTTGGTGTCCCGTGATGAACATGCATGCTCTCCTGGATATTCTGCAGCCCTGCCTTCCACCCTCTGCTTCTGGGCTGGACTCCAGGTTGCCGTGACCCTTATCAGGAATAAGTCTTTGTTTTTTTGTATAAATGATAGATGTTCTGTTTTCATCAAACTGAAGTTCAGGGAAAAAAAAGTCTGCTGAAAGTTTTCTGCTCATTTGAAGTAGTGATTTATTTGGAAAATCAGATTAGTCCCCCTCGAATCTATTTTAAGCCAGTGACCAAAGCAAACTTCAGGGTCTAGGCTGAATACTCCTACATGCCCGCAATTAACTCAAATGTCAGTCACCTTCACAATACATTGAGCAACACGGAAAAAAACTGTAGACTCAGGCTACCAACCCTTTTTGGTGTCAGGAAAACACGGCGCTGTTTTGCATAGCTAGGATTCTTTTATTTGTACAAATTGTACAGCTGTACAACAACAGGAGATCTAGCTTGTAACAGCCAGCCATGGCCGGCCCCAAGATTCGCTCAAAGCCCATGTGCACGGGTGGAGGGGCGAGGCCCCTGCAGTGAGAAGGGGGTCTCTGTGGTTTTTGTAGACCCCCCCAGCATCAAGCTTGGCCAGCCGGTTTTCTGTAAAGGAGGAGAGGAGATGGAATGCCATGTCCTAGCGCCTGATTAACATTGCGTTCGCTGCTTTTCTGCAGATGTCCGCTACTGCGCCTCACCCTTTCGCCGCTGGACTGGATGCAATCGAAAGTCGCTCTGGATACGGGCGCCCGGCCAGATGCACGCTTGTGCAGGGAATGTGATGCGTCTCCATGCTTGTGCAAAGCCAGCCTACCGCGGGGGAGTGGGTTTGCACAAGCAGAGAAACAGGCAAGCATGGAAGAGACCGAATGGCTTTGGAAGCCAAGCCGAAAGGACTATGACTACATAGGCTGCAGCATGGAGGCCTGAGCCTGGATCGCGGTCTCCCGATCCAACAAGGGCCGTGTCCACTAATGGATCGCTCACTTTCTACATCTGAACTGAGCCCTGCGTCAGAACAGGGCAGGCTGCCCCGAGCTCTGCTGAGATGCCACTCCCCTGCCTTGGCTGCGTCTATTCTAAAGCGTCCATCAAACCTAACTGACCTGGTACACTCGTTCTAGTGTTTCTAATGGGTTTTATCCTGCTAGCCATGAGGAAACAGCACAGGTCCCTCGCTCATACCCCCAGGGCTCCCCCCTGGGCTAGGTGATCATACAGCCCCCCTTCTCCTTGAATGGGTTCTTGTCCTCTGGGACGCCCTTGAGGAGGGGGTCTTCGGCAGCTTGCGACTCCATCCACTCCACCAGTTCCTTTGCTGTTTTGGAAACCTGAAAGCGCGGGGGAGGAGCAGGGGTGGGGAGGCACGGAAAATAAAAAGATAAATGCGTACATGCCCACGGAGCTTTGTGTATTTGTCAATCCTCATCCCAAACGTGCATTGCTGGAAATGGCACTTTTGCACCCATCGATCAGCAACATAATTCCATTTGAGGAGTTTGCGTGGTACATTTGCGCAGCAATTTCATATGTGTAACCATGGTTTCCTTCTGCGCTTGCTACTTGTTTATGTCACACTTTTTATCTCTCCCGAACTAGATGCTGGTGATGCTTCTATAATTGAGGGAGACTGAGGTTTGCCTCAGTGATAGTCACGGTCTAATCATGAAAAGCATAAAACCACAGGAGAGGAAAACCATGATAATGATTTTGCAGGAAATGTTCTGCTATATCTTCAATCTAACAGAAATGTATTTCTGTGTATAGGATTGCAAGGGCAGTTTGCAGGACAGAAGCTGCAGAAGCACTCTTAGAGGGGTCTGAAGAAACTCTTGCCCAAATCTAAATGATTAAATGAATAAATTGTTCTAGCCAGTTTTAGCACCAATTTCTATATGGTTATCACAGTCCATTGCTGTGTAAGAATCACCCATTTGACATGACCATATGTTTTCAATGCACGACCAGTTGCACATCTACTTAATGCTGTGCAAGAGCTGCACATCACTAAGGAGAAAATATTGCATCCCACACCTGTGTATTGTGTCTCAAAAATCGACATGCATCTTCAAGGCACATGCAGATCAGGTTTCTCAAAGCTTGAGGAAAATGGGAATCTTTTTTAATAGAGCTCCCCCAGATAGAAAAAATCTCTTACCACCATCCTCTCAGTTTTCACCTCCTTCTGGAGCTGCTCCAGCTCCATCTTGATGATATCTTTGTCTGACATGTCACGAGCCATCTTGACCTGGGGGCAGAGAAGTGAGAGGCAGCACGAAACTGTAGCGGTTGTGTGCGAAAGGGATCTTTCTAAACTTGATTGAGCTCTGTGCCGGCTGTGAGAGAGAGACAGACACCTGTTTCGTGGAATTTTTGCATGTTATGTGACACCTCTGGGCAACTGAAATGAACCGTGTCAAATAACTGTACTGTTTTATGTACGTTGTATGATAATCTTCCTCTTTGGCCTAAATATAGGCTCAATAGTTTCTCTTAAACATGGCATCTACTGTAACCCAGAAGATTGTTCTGAAGTGGTGACTATAAACAAGTGGAACAGAACTTTGAATGGATCCAATATGTACTGGGTATGTGTAAGCGTTATATGTTTTATGTCATTATATCAGAAGTGTTCTGAAGCAAATTCCAATCAATGTGGGTGACAAGGAAATAGTGTTCACTTCTCTGACTAAGCACTAAAAACTGTTTGGAAATGCTTGTGTGCAGAGCACAGCAATAAACATATATTTAAGCCATCTTCTTTACAGACAATGAACAACAAAACCTCTGTTAAAGGAAATGGGAACAAGTAGACACAGAAAGGTCAGCCAGCCACCTAGAAAAGTAGAGAACCTGTTGGACAAGACATGTATTAACAATGATCTAGATTTTTTAACTGCTCACATCACTTGATAAATCCTCACCAGTAAAGAAGCACTGTGTCTATATCACTGTGATGACATGGTGTTTTCATGCCTGCATCTAAAACACTGAGCAGACCACTACAGTTAGTATAGAACACTAAAGCCCATTTTGCAGAAGGATGCTGCTTTAGTCCATGCTTTGAGTGACTTCAGTACTGTATCTTCTACTAAATATCACTGCTGGCGAAATCCGTACACTTTCTTGTCTTGGTCTGAAGATGATTTATAGCAATTATGGACATACAGCTGTATAACAGTCAATTCTGCAAATGTGTTATTACCCAAAGACAGATCACACTGGCAACAGCATAAAACAGAGAGTTTACAGAGAGTAACATTATTGTCTTACCTATTAAACTGTGGCCCCAGGGCTATAGAATTGAGTGGCTCTGGTTCTGTAGAACCATGCAGTCCTGTTGCCTGCCAGTTCCCTTCTGATGGGATGGTCCTGCTCCTCGTCTCTTCACGGTCATCTCCAGATGGCACTTGACGAGGAGCAGGTGGGCGGCAGGGGAAGTTCAGGGGGAGGGGACGGGACTTGATGTCATCAATCCGCTGATCAGATTTAGTAATCAGAATAATTAACGTGCCAAATGTCAACCTAAAAGCACATTAACCTGGAAACCCTGGAAGCCTGTGCAGGGAGCTGGCTGGTGGGGGTTGTGAGGTTCCCGTGATTGTACATTTGAAAAAACTTTTGGTGACATTGCCAAAATTGCATGCACGCGTATACAAGATGAACCCTGATTTATAGAGAGAATGAGTGCAGATTAGTCGGCACTGCGGGCTAACTATGAATCATTCCACTATCTCAGTGGCTGATGTTACCACATTCAATTACCACTACTGAAGAATGTGTTTACATGAAAGATATAGAAAACCATGACTAGCATTGGGAACAACCTGCACAACCCTGAAACATGTTTGTCTTTTTATAATACAACCAACAGCTGTTTAGATCTTGCCCTGAAAAACAGGTTTTGTTCTTCGAAACAATGATAAACTTTTTTAATGCAGTGACTTGACACGAAACAGGGGTGGCTGTGGCACACTGCGGGGCAAGCCGGGACTACAGGAGATCCAGAATGATTTGCTCGTTTTCAAGGCCAAATGTCTCTCATGCTCCCACCACGAGCACGATTACAGTGCAGAGCCCTGAAGACTTCTCGTGTTAATGTCTGCAGTCACATCCACGTCCGTCAAAGGAACAAAACGCACCACGCAGCCTCAAAATGGAGGCCCAGTAGTGAAAGATGTGCAGCGCGGGTCCTGTTGGGCTCACAGGACGTGTTTTTAATTTGGCCTCCTCTAAGACTCTCTCTAAGGGAACCACAGACTTGCACAATCTTCCATGTCATTGCTCATGCAAAAGACCTCCCCTCCTGCCATGAAGCATTTACTTTAAGGAAACTACAAGATGATCAACACAGAACAGTCAGACAGTCTTAGTCCTTCCCTGTACATAAGTATTCTCCCCCCCTCCACCCCATCCCATTCCATCCCATCCTCATATCCGAAAAATCTCAGTGACCCACTTACCCCGAGGCACGATTCCAGGGCTGCCTGCGTCATTGTTTCTTTAATCCCTGCTAAAGATCTTGTCTGACTTCATCCTGTGGATTAAGACCTAAACCCGGCTGGTTTTAGATAAGCCACTATATCCCTCTTGAGAAATAAAATTAAGCAACATACGATTTCCTCACTCTTTGCCTCATCTTAGCCTGCATACACATGCAGCGGATTGATCTGCCTTTCCTAATGAGCGCATTCTTACCCATTCACACAAAGCGTCTTATTCCTGGCAAGGGCGCTATCGGCTGCAGGGCGAGATTGTATTTTACAGGCACGGGTAAATAACGGTTTATTCCATGCTGAAAAGAGAAGGAAAGAGACACAGGGTTTTGGCTGTGGAGCCCATCAGCAGTACGTATAAAGAAGGGGGGAGAAGCTCAACGTGTCAGTCACCATTAACGCAACAGGCCACATAGATCATTCCTGTCTGAACCTCGTCACGTCACGCAGTCAGCACGTTAACAGCAATGGTTTGCCGATTCTCACTGCAGCAGACACCACATAAACCACGAGGATTAAAAAGGGGCCTTGCTACAGCTCGTTCGAAACTAGAGTACAGGAACAGCCTTCTTCGGGTGTCATGCTGACGCCGCTGCCTCCTGTACTTGAACGACTTCACCCTGCTTCTGCCGCGATGAGTGCCGGATTTCCCACGGAATAAACCTTTACCTTTTCCTTTGCAGCCTACGCATGCTGACGCACTTCCCCCAGTTGAGCCACTTTTACAGGTTAAAACCGCTGATGAACTGTCGTGCGCTATTTCTCTGTCTTGGGCAGCACGCGTTCTTGCAGGGTTTCTGACTTGGGGAAAGTCGGTAAGAGCAGAAAAGATTCTCTGGTTCCTAGAAGCAGAAGCTACAGCACATAATCTTATCTGGGCTGTTTTCCCACACTGGTCCCGGTGATTGGTCACCTAGAAAGTCTGGCGTGGTAATAAAGGGCCTACCTGCAAATATCATGTTTTCAGACGGATTGATGACGCTTTCCCAGGTGTAGGAAAAGGATCAAACGTCTTCAGTTATACTGAACATATATCACGTCTTCATCAATCACCGTTATTATCCAATTATAATAATGATAATAATATTCAGCTGTTCTTATAAAAAAATAATTCGACTAACTCATCACTACAGCACACGGCCTGGTCAATGGTTTAGACTGCGAGACAGATTTTGAGTTAATACAGCAGAAACAGTGAGACACTCCCCCTAGTGGCAATATTTGGCTTCAATTCAAAGAATAAGGGCGCACAGAGCAATTCTGCATATTTATGATGCAGGTCAGGTATGCACTATTGCAGAATTGTTAATATTTCAGTTTCAGGGTTGCATCTATCAGCAGTACGTATAAAGAAGTGGTGAATTCTGCAGATAGAGAAGCTGAACGTGTCAGTCACCACTAACCCTACCGGCCACAGATCGTTCCTGTCTGAAACACGTCACGTCACGCAGTCAGCATATTTACAGTACAGCATAGAATGGCGATTCTCATTGCAGCAGACACCACATAAACCACGCGGATTAAAAAAAAAGGGTCTGGTAGAGCTCGTTCGAAACGAGAACATGATCGTATCTCACAGACGATACGCTTCCTGTGGGCAGATACAAGCTGTGGCTACGTGTGAAGTCCTGCAGGTGTTTTTCTGCAAATGCAAAAGTTTTGATGCACAGAGTCTAGCTCTTAAATAACCAGAGTTTCAGTCTGAATTGACCAGTGTGGGAAAAGTTATCCAAGCATGCTTTAAGCTTGTGCGTATTTCTACAGCTGGATGTAGTATCAGATATGCCATATACTGTATGATGTACGTCATGGGACTGTGTGCATCTTCGGTTACATTCACTGCGCAAATTTGACACTGATGCAGTAGTTAACCGGGTTTGTATTAAAAAATGAAGAATACACAAGTTTTTTTTTTCAAAACACCTGAGAATATCACGAGTTTATTATAATAAACACTCTCCTCTTTCTCATGCCATTATCTGTTTCTGAAATAGCATCTTTTTTTGTTGTTGGAATTGTTGCCAATATTTGTTTTCATTTTCAAATATTCTGCTTCCCTGGCCCTGGACAGATACTGGCCTTTGTGATTCCTGTACCCAATATACGTTTTGCGTACTTGTGGATTTATTAATTTATTATATTCTATCAGTCACAGGCTGTTGTTGCTATTTTTTCCCTCCAGCTCTCTACAGAGGTCGCAGATGACAGCAGGTACAGATAAGGGATATTATCTGAAACACAAGCAGACAAACCTACATCATCTTCTATTTCAAATTTTACACTTGCAAAAACGGCAAATCATGAAAACCACACACATGATAAAAGAGGAGTGAAGCTTCCTGAGAAATAAAAATTACCCTTGCTTGACTGTCTGTTAACAGGCGACACATTGCATAGCTCATAATCAGTGTTGTTCTAATCTCTCGAGATAAAGATCAAGAACAGTTCAGCAGGTTTCTGTCTAGATAACCTAATTACCTAATATTCAGCCCCCACAAAACAGAGAGTCCTTAATGCAAGAGTTCCTCACACAGACTGCAGACCGTGTGAGCAGAACAAGTCCCTCAACTTGAGCTATCCTTCACAGACAGGAGATACACGAGCCAAGATCCTGTCAGTACATGCATTCATTGTTAGTAGAAGCAGATATCATGCTAGAATTTGTGAAGGCAGCCAAACACCAGGCCAAGTATCAGCCACAATATAATCTAGCAGTACCTTGAGATAGGACAGTGAAGTAAGGGTGCTCAGATGTGCAAGAATTCTAAAGATTGGCTTCACTGTGGATTCCCAGTTTGTCAAGGAAGGACTGTCTCAAGCGAGTGAACATGAGTGAGGTCAAGCAGTCGAACAGCCTCAGTCTAGCAGGTTCTCGGTCATGCATGTGCGATTTGCTCCTTTGGCATTGAACCATGGGCAATTATTCTGGCCCGAGGTGTGGAAAGACAACGCAAACCTGGCTCATGCTGCACCAGTCCAGCCCCCAGGGGAGCCCATTCATCTGAATGCGGGGGACTGGTGATACCCACACCCACTGCTGCATTATAAAGCATTATAACTGCAGTGAAGAAAGGATTAAGGAAATCTGAAACCACACGAGGAACTTGGTAAGCAAAACAAGTGGGATCAAATAAACTGTATAACAAAGGACAAGTTCCACATCCAGCCAAAATAACCAGTTTGTAATGTTTGCACTTGAACCAAATCGAATGCACAAAACAACACTGCTGGCAACAGAGACGGCCGTTCAGTCCTGGATATTTTCCTGGTAGGGTTCTTACTCCCTTACCCAACATATCACAAATCGAAACTGTTTATTATATCTTCCTGACACATTACAACAGGAAAGAACTCCCATTACGCAAATTCACAGAAAACAATCAATGCTGTGCAAAATTCACAGTGCAAAATCAATGCTGTTTTTCCCTTCACCATCACTGTAATTAGTTGTATTGTGCGTGGAACTGTGCATTAAATCCACATCAGTTATGTATAAAATAACATCCCTTTTTAAATCGTCTAAGTTAATGCTGTACATTTATAAGTGCATTTTTGCAAATAAACTGTCCAATCCTTCCAGAGGTCAGCAAAGTTCTACCTGCTTTACATTAGTTTGATCCCGTTATTTTATAAAAATGTTTTGATCCCCGTTTTCTGCATGGCTTTTTCCCCAGTGTTTCCTCTCAATTCTGGATTGTGTCGTCTGCACAGGGTCTGGAAAGAACTGTTCATTCCAGCCTGCAAAGAACCTGATCTCACAGGAATTGCTCGTCAGATACCTAATGACATATTTCAGACACCTGTAGTGCTTTATTCGGCAATACAAGTACCTGTCTTTCTTCTTTGAATTTTTCCTTCTCAATTTAGTTTTGTTGCATTTTAACAATGCTTTGTATCTCCACTAGAGCTAAAATAGAATAAATCTAATTGTGTATTCCCACCACAAAATTGCCAAAGTCCCAAAGTCCGTCTGTCTGAAAAATATAAGCTCCCAATTGACGTAGTACAGGAGCACAGTTCCCCTTTTGTTTTTAACAAAGTGCACACTTTAAGAAAAAAAATTCTCCTTCTTCCACATTGTAAAATGTCTCTTTCAATGCACCAATGCATTTCCCCCAATGTCACAAAGAAAAATTAAAAGGAAAACTGTAAACTGGAATAAAAGACAATAAGGCTCCATTACTAACAAGAAACCTTTTGGAAGCCTTTTGCGTGCCTGCTTTCGAATTTGCTTTTGGTTCACAAGAAACAAGCTCCTGTAACACCACACTAGACACTTGCGTAGTCTGTGGATCCTGTAGTGAGAGCATGGTGTCAGTTACTGGAGAAACACTTCATCCTGTTCTTAAAGAAGTGGAGGCCCAGCTTCATTTTTACTTCCTCCTGCTTCGGAGTCCGAAATGTCCTGTACAGTTCCTGTGCCGCCTTCTCCTCTTCGGACAACTTTTCTTGCGTCCTGGGCTGATGGTCAATGGTGATCTTGCTGCACGAGGCCACCAGCAGGCTGCCCAGGCCGTCCACGAAGAACTCTGGCATAAGACAAAAGAGTGCCCACCAGTGAGTACCAGCAGGAGCTGTTGGCATGGCATTAGAGGAAAAAAACTCAGCGCCCGGCCAGCACAAAAATGTCCTTTCTCCTTTTCATCTGGGAATCACAAAGAAACAAACTACGATTCAAACTGGTATCAATGCAGCCAGACTATAAGACGGGGCCCTTAACCCCAACTGCTCCAGGGGCGCTGTATAAATGGCCGACCCTGCACTCTGACCCCAAGCTTCTCTCCCTGTCTGGGTGTCAAGCTGGGGTATGCGAAAAGACAAATTCCTAATGCAAGAAATTGTATATTGCTAATAAATTGATCTTATAAATCGGCATCATGCATGACATTGCCGCGTCTCCAAGCCCATTAAAGTCGGCGCCTCTCACCTGTGTGGGCGACCCTCTGGAGTCGTGGATCAAACCCCACCTTGCGTACTGAGTCAGTCCGGGCCAGGAAGAAGTTGACCACGCCACTAGTGAGAACGCAGTCCGGGAAACTGGGAATAGGCTGATAGTGACCCATCCTCCTGCTCACACAATGTCCATCCTCCCCTTCCCCGTACACCAGCTGGAACGTGAAGGTATTGCCAGTCACCGAGCCTCCCACCTGTCCAGAGGAGGAGGTGGAATTCAGCTACGGTTGTTAGATCCGCCCTTAACACTTGTCAACATCCGCCACAGGTTTGCGGATGCTGGTGAGGCAAGGTACATCCTGGATGGGACACCAGTCCATTGCAGGGCGGATAGACACAATCATGCACACACTTACACCAGGGCCAGTTTTCCCAGAACCAGCATGTCTTTGGACTATGAGAGCACTCCCTTCTGGCACTGACCATTAATGGCCAGGAGGTAGAAAGAGTGGATAACTTTAGGTTCCTTGGAATAACAATCTCCTCCTCTCTGAAATGGGAGGACAGCTCAACCCGTACTGTTAAAAAAGCTCACCAAACACTCTTTGTTCTGCACCAGCTCCAACAGTTTGGGGGGTCTCTAGAAAGGGGATGCTGCAAGTACTACTACGCTGTGATAGAAAGTGCGCTTACCCCTTCTAGAACGGTGTCATACTGCAACCAACTGGAGAGAATTGTGCGCTCAGCCTCAAAAATTATCGGCTGTGAGCTGACCTACAGCTCTATCTATGAGACCCGCATCCAACATAAAGGACTGGAAATACTTCAAGACCCTGGGCACCCAGCAAACCCCCTCCTTATACCCCTCCCCTCAGGAAAAAGACTCAGAACCATTCAGACCAAAACCTATTGACTATTGAAACTGATCAGCTCCCCAGTCATACATTAGCACTTTATGATGACTTCTGACAATGCAAGTGGACTATAAACAATTCAATGCACCAGTCACATTATTTTTTATTTTCATTTATTCTATGTTTTTTCTTTTTTAAGTAATCTGGTTATAAGTTCTATTGTGCCGGATGTTTTCGTGTTACTGTTCTTATTGTTTCATTGTTTAACTGTCATGAGGCAATTTCCCAACAGCTAAGTTGGTAAGGCAATAAACACTGAATCTTGAACCTTGAAAACTAAAGACTCAGACTTTGGTTCTCCAAGTAATGGCAAAGTAGAGTTTGGGAGTTATTTGGCATGACAGTTACTCCTGCCACCCAAAGGGAACCTGCAGTGATGCCAGTGTCAGTGAGGGATGTACCTCTGGACAGTGCCAGTTCTTATTGGGCACAAGGCAAGATGGGCATATCTGACCAGCCTCCTTGCTGGCTCCCACTGTCCCAGTGTGGATGCAGGAGCAGCACCTGGGAGCCAAGTCTTTAAAATTCCAAATCGTGCACTTATGTAAGGAAAATTAATCATCAATTTAATAAAAAATAAATCTCTGCACCTTAATGCCTAAACCTAATGCTGTTATCTGGCATCTCTTCTGACTGAGCCATTTAGAAAGCCTTGGTTTTTTTATTTTCTCATCAGTTCTAATGAACTCAAAAGCCGGCACAATTTTTGGGAAACGTCTTAGGAGCCCCGGCTTTGGTTCGTAAGGAAAAGCACGAGAACGCGGCTTTTTCTGGAAAACCTGGAGAAACAATTGGACTCTCACCACGTCCAGCTCTGGCATGGCCTCCATCACTTCCACCAGCTTCTCGATTTCGGTGTTGCCCGTGAACAGGAAATCGTCATCCACCCACAGCAGGTATTTGGTGCTGACTTGGGACACCACCAGGTTTCTCCCTGCAAACCAGCCCTATGGCACAGACAGGAAGAGACAGTCACACAGCGGATACAAGCAGAGGCCCCGGAGGAGAATGCATGCCGAATACAATCCAAACCTCTACACTCATCAAGGATCGTTTCCAATCCAAACTTTCCACAAAAGTTCCAAGCATCCACTGTTAAAGATCCATTTGTTCCTGGTCAGGAGTGCAGTATCCAGGAATCTTCCCTGAAATTAAGGCAGGGCCACACACACACACAAGCACCAGCAGGGACAATGTGCAGACTACAAAGAATCCACTCAGCGTGTTTCTGAGTGGATTCTTTACACCATGTTTTAGCACCAGGAGAAAAGCGAATGCAAGGAGGACATACAGACTCCCCACAGAAGGTGCCTCGGAACCACAATCAAACCCAGGACACAACAGGTGTGAAGCATGCAATGCTAACCGGGCACACTAATGTAAACGTTACGAGTTAAAAAATAAGAATGTTGTTTGGAATATGAGACATTTTGAACTGAAGTGATAAAGAGGACACCTCCTACAATTATTTTAACCTGTACCAGCACAGCGCCAGGTTTTAAACTGCGGGGTGGAGATGATGTGGCAGTGCATCTGCTTCAAGGTGCACACAAAAACTGCACTCTCTGAATACTGCCTGCGGGTCAAAACTGTTGTGCGCATTTATCTAGAAGTAGCAATATTTCTAATACGAGACAGGTGTCCACAGCTAACAAGAGCTCTGTTCACAGTTAACCTGAAAGCAAAAGCTGTAAAAGCATAAGGATTTATTCCTCAGCCACCACCCGGTCTAATACTATTCCAGTATGTACCTTGGCTGGAGGCATGATGTACTGCTCAATGTTCGAGCCATTGATTTTCTTTGGGTTGATGCTGTCGTCTGCAACGAGGATTGTCATATCCTTGTAAAAGGTCCGGATGCTCTTAATGAGGACGTCCAGCTGGGGGTATCTCAGAAACGTTTTGGTGACAATTGTCACCTGAGAGCTGATGCCTGCAAGTGGGACAAACAAAAAGGATTTGAATGCACTGTCTCCCTCCTCCTCAGCACGGCCCCCTCTGCACTGGACTCTGCAATCACCTGCTCTTTCTCAGGGGTTCCAGTGTTGACTCCTGCTGCCGAAGTAATATAAAATGAAATTGGCACACGTGCTACTCCAACCTGACCGGCTGTTAACTCCTTCCTCATTCAGCACACAAGCTCCGTAGCGTCAGACAGGAGAGTTAGCACAAGAATGACTTCTATGTGAGCCAGCGCGGGCAGCCATTTGCCACATTGCATTGTAAACCGATTTTATGTGTAAAGAAACATTCACCTTCTCTCTGTCACATGATATCGAACTTCATTCAGTGCCAGTAAACATGGACAACGAGTGTGTTGTCCTGGGTTTGTTTTATGGGGGTAGTTTCAGGAGCGTGGTTTTTGTGTTTTGTGCAACCCTGGATTTTGTATTGTATTGTGCTGAAAACCGTGAACCTCCAGTCCCCAGCTAAGCATTTTCCCCAGAGGAGGAGGAGGAGCCCGTGGCACAGTTGTGAAACGGGCAGCCAGGCAGTGACTCATAATACCCGCACCTGAGGGGCACAGAAAACGTCCTTCGCGTTTTCGAAAGAAAAGTCAGCATCCGGCTTCAGCACTTTGTTCTTAAGGTTTTCTGAAATGCAAAGCAAATTCATGCCAACGTCTAATCTTACCTTGCCCTGGATCGTACAGGTGAGGGATCAGAGGCTGTTCAATCACAATGGGGAAGGTGGCGGAATGCTTCTCAAAGGTGAAAGAGACTACGAATAAAAGAAACATGGATCTTGAACTCCTGTGAACTTTATCGTTTGGATATCTTTCAGCTGCTCTCAATAACTACCTAACTGTTCCATGTACTCGTTTATAGAATGCAAAGGGCATATCAGTTTTTTTTCTTTAACAACATTCATCTTTGAGCATGAAAAAGGCAATGTAAAGTTAATCTAGGATTAGCCGATCAGTCACTGTAAACTTGTGATACAGTTTCTTTCGATGTAAAATGCAACCTCTTTTGCACACTATTATTATTATTATTATTATTATTATTATTATTACCCAGATCTCCATCCTTGATCCTGTACAGAGTGCTGGTGTAGGTGACATTTCTCAGCAGGTGGTTCAGACGCTCCAGGTTAGAGGTGGAAATAGTCAAGACCATCTCATTCTGTCCCTCAATATGATCGTCCCTTCCTGGCTTCGTGGTGGCAAGGACGCCTTTGGTTACGCTCAGAGAGACCTGACAGGTGTTTGTTTTTTTAACAAATAAAACATTAGATTAAAACAGTGTTTACAGCAAAGGACATGACCTGCACATGTTATCCTGGTATTCTTAAGAAACTGAAAATATTGAATCTACCATCAACTGGTATTGCAAAATGCAATTTCCATTTTGGAATTTCTTACTGAGCGTGTGGTTTATCACCATTTTCATATCATTTATTATCCAGCCAACTGTCCATACTTACAGATAACTGTAAAATATCGTTTTACAGTTATCCCATTGACCTATCCATACTCTAACCTCTTTATCCAGTACAGAGTCATGGGGGAGCTGGAGCCTATCTCGGCAAGCAACAGGCACTAGGCAGGCTACACCCTGAATGGGACGCCAGTCTATCGCACCATTTTCACTGATTATCCACTTTCAGAAATAAGTTCTTTAAGCAGCACCTATAACTCCTCCCAGGTACAGTAGATGCACAAGGGAATTTTATAGTTTTGTGGGATCATTTAGTTTTTTTACAAAGGTTACACAAAAGGTCATGGCTCTTGCTTGTTCCAAGCACTTGAGTACAATTTTGTTTCTTTAGTTCTTTCACTTGAATGGTGCTGATCTTTAAACCTGTTTTACTATTAATATCTGATAAACCCTTATATCAATTCTGTTTCAGTGGCAGCGTTCGACACAATGTATTGCTAGCACTGTTTGTCTTACATTTAGGACACCTGTTATAGCACACAATTCGTTTGACAAGTCAATGGAAACATTTTCAATGTGGCCTTTATTAGGGTAAATCCATGGAATTAATTTAAACTCTTTGGAATACAATGTTGAATTTGTAGGTTTTTTTATGGGGTTTTCACTGTCCTTTCACTTTTGCTCAGTATAAGAAGCAGGAGAATCAACATTTACCAGTTAATCCAAAATACACTCTGCTCGGAACTGCTTAACAGATTTGCTTTGGCAAATAAAGAGGCGATACTTTAACCACGAACACTTGACTTTAATCTAAAAAGATCACTGTGGAATGTGTTGCAATAGTTATTCAAGTACAACTTTACTTAATAATCCCATCACCCACACCTGGTTTCAGACAGAAACTGTCACCCAGCAAGGAAAAAGAAAGGGCTTTGAAGGTCAAATGACTATCTTGTGGAAAGAGCTGCTATATGAATAGTAATGGTTATATAAGGCAGTTTCTATACATTTGCGTCCCACAACATGCCTGCAAGCCACAGTTCTAGGTCTCAGTTTTGAAGGGTTTCTATAAGCAGGAACCAGCTGTCTCAATGAACCACAGTCAATTGTTTCTACTGCTCGCTCAGAGACAGCTGGGGGATGCCTTTGCTCTCTAAGGTAGGTGTTCTTATTTCTGGTCTAAGGCAGCTGGTGCACCTACAGGTACAGGTTTTCTGGGTCTTTTTTAAGCAGCAGCACCTGAAAGAAGGTCTAGTTAAGCCACTAATGAGCTGACTCAAGTCATTATGAAACCAGCTGGACTGAAAACCTGTCTAGGCATCAGAACCCAGACTGGGGACTTCTGTTTTGTGCACATCCAGACAGTTGCACTGGTTTGCTATACAAATTGTGACACAAGACTGCCACGCACATATGAATCTGACATTGTAATGTTACTATTTGGAAGTTTTGCACAGGATACCCATTAGACCATTTTCATGTTGCCAATTTCAAGGAGGTCTGCTGCAACAGTGTGAAAGAAAAGCGATTGCATTTGAGTGCTTTAGCCAGTGATATTCACTCCTGGTCCTGGAGGGCCACAGTCCACCTGGTGTTTATATACATATCAAATAAAGACCTGGAAACAGTGGTAATACTGTGGAGACCAAATGAATGAACAATTCAAATCAAGTGACTGAAAGTATACCCAGTGGTTGTCCAGACCAGGAGACAATCGCAATGATTTAAGCAGTGCTGTCACAGGTAAAGGTGAGCTGTACTGACCTGATACTGCGTTTTTTTAGGTGCATATACACTTAACCCTGCAACACAGAAAAATGCAAAGAATTCCTTTTTAACACGCTGTTAATGTTACAGAGTGGGCTACTTCAGCTATCGCTGCTTCTTTCCGATACCTGGGCGCTCAGAACTGCACAAAGTAGCACAACCCAATCCAGATTTTGAAGCGCACTGTTTCATGTAGGCCCAGTTTGATGCAAGTTTATTTCATTCTGCCTGGCTGGCAATTAGGATTGTTTTCCTTGTAAAATGAACGGTTTCAGGTTATTTTGTTTTTGCTAGAACCCTAAATGGACAGGAGAGGAAACTGTGTGGAGCTGCTTGTAAAACCTAGAACAAGAGATGCTTCTTTACACAAAAGTTTGTGGGAGTATAGAGCATGTTACCTAGCCATTTTATTGTTCCCGATATCCTATACCAGGATCTCATCCAACCACTTCTTGAGAGAAACCAGGATGAGGCTCTAATGAGGGTTAGAGCCCTCCTCTCCCTTGTGACCCTCATTATTTTCTCGTGTCCTCAAATCAACTGAAATTGCTCAGTCCTTTTTTTCAGAATCCTGGAGGGAGACTGGAGCCTGAAGTGTTTTGATAAGAAACTGCGTTACACCTAAAGGAAGAGGATTATTAAGCTGAACACTCACATTCCTGCAAGCTACTCCCTGGATGTGGCAGATGTTTATCCTCATGAGCGTGCTCTTAGTTTCTAGCAAGTGAAAAACAAATTCTAGTTCCAAACATAAGTCATACTGCTACTCTGGCTCCAGACTCTCCATCGGATCACTTTAAAAACCACAGTGAGCCCCTGTCGCCTTCACATTCATCTTTCTGCACCCCTCCTTTACCCCAGCGGTCTCCTCACTCTGCAGGGTGTCCTGACTTCTTTGTCCTTTGGCCAGGCAGTTGAGATAAGATAAAATAAGATCACTGTATTGGCCGCATACAATTTCTTGTATTAGGAATGCGTCTTTTCACATACCCCAGCTTGCTGTCACAGACAGGGAGAGAGAAGCTTGGGGTCAGAGCGTAGGGTCAGCCATTTATATGGCGCTCCTGGAGCAGCTGGGGTTAAGGGCCTTGCTCAGGGGCCCAATGGAGTAGGATTCCTCTGCCAGCTGCCGGATACGAACCGGCCACCTTCCAGCCACAGGCGCAGATCCTTAGCCACAGAGCCACTGCCCCAACCTGCCCCAGTGGTGAGGGCTTAGCCCCCAGCCCAGTGTGGTGAAGCCAAAGCAAATATCAAATATCAAATATCTTTTATTAGCATTCCTAAATACATTTTTTTTACTGGGTGATCATGTTTGGCTAGGGCTGCTTCTGTTTGAAACACAACAGAAACTCGTTAGTTGCATTTTTGTATAACAGCCCAAACCACCACCTCATGATCATCAGAAAAGAAATCATCATCATCACTTTCAATAAGTGCACATCCAATTCAAGGTCATGGTGGCCCGGAGCATTGGAAGCAAGGCATGCAAACTCCACGCAGACAGTGCCACAAGTCTGGAATTGAACCCAGAAATGACTGGGTTCAATTGACACAGACTCATATCCTTTTTTTACCTCTTAACTATTCTTATTAGCCCAGAGACATAACAGATTCTACACAGTACCTATCCTTTCAGCGTAATTGTGGTACTCCTTCTGAGTGCCAATTACTCAGTCAGTTTAGCTAGGCCTCATTCCACAGATTTTCTTCCCTATAACAGGTATGTCTCTCTCAGAGCCACCTCCCTCTGCTTCACAGAAGTCTCATTCTATTACAGTCTGTTTGGAGAACATATTTCATCCCTTTGTTTCACAACTTCAAAGCGCTGTTCATAAAAGCCGAGTCCTCCTGAGAAAGAAATACTATGAGTAAAATATTGACTGGATCACTTCTAAAATAGATGAAAGCTCTTTGGTAAGAAGATTCTATACTAAAGTTATGAATTAATGCCATGACCTCATTTTCTTTAACCCAAGAGAATATGTTTGCAGGTGTCCACTTTCTTTATTGTGGGAAAAGCAAACTAATGAGGTATTTTAGGAAGTACAGTATGTCCGAATGGGGATAAATAAAGAGTTTTGCTCCAGCATGTTAACCTTTTTATGGCAGACAACAGAGCTGAGGATATGACAGTTGTTTTTTTCCAGAAAACAAGACATTCACTGGCTCCTAATGGCTGGAAACCTCATGCCTTGTCCTGGGCTGAAACCACAGCACGCTTCATAAGAATCACTGAAAGCTAAAACTAATTCTGACATGGCATCTGTGTTCTTACACAACAAAATGAACCACTGATAAGGGGTGGGATGTACACAGTGACCCAGCTGTGCCAACATATGGAGAATGAAGCAGTGCACAATCGCCCTTTAAACAGTGAAAAACATTGTTTACAAAAGATTTGACATCTGCATCAAACGCCACCATTAGGAGGTTAGGAAACTCTGCGTACCTGGAATAGAGGTTTCTTGGAGCGGAAGCACACGGACTCCTTGAATGGGATACATCAGGGGAGAATTTGGCTGGGCCAAAATCAGTTGCTTTAGGA